TTGATGGCACTCACAACACACGAGCTTACTCCTTCGACCCTCAAGCCCTTCGCGGACCGTGCCCTACAGCAACTGGAGTGCGTCTTGGATGTAGGCATTGGCTCTGGAGCGCTGTCAAAACCGGTCTCCTTGAAATCCTTGCGCCATAACGACTTTGAGCGCTTGTGTTTCAGAGCTTGGACATTGGAGAAGGAAGGGGCCGTCGGAGACTCCATGGAGAGGCGACGCTTTCGTAAATCTTTGGCCGCTGCGGGACCAAGGACGAGCTCGGTCGGCACAGACTCGCCCATGAGCTGCTGGACCTTGGCCATGCGTGCGCGACTTTGTTGTCGTTGTAGGTGATCCGACCTTTGACGTGAGGGTGGCGTTACTGGCGAGGAGAGATCGTAAATGGAGGCATCGTATAACACGGTCGGTGATTTTGCCGCTTTCGTCGTATAAACCGTCTGTGCAGACTCTTGGTTTGTATGAGTAGAGTCTGTCTGACGATTGGTCATTAAGCTCAGTGCTGATGATGCCACAGAGGAGTCGGACAGTCGTCGTTGCCTTGGCGCGCTGGATCCAGTTGCTTGGACGACGTTTAGGCGCAGCAGGGGAACATTCGAAGGGGTCGCCAGAGTAGGAGAGGTAGCTACCAACGAGCTGGCTATTTTTCCCCAGTTCGACCCAGGAGGTGGCTCGAGACTAGGCGACTCGAGTGCAGCCATGGCTGCCTTTCGGTCTAGACGAATATCGGAGCCGGCTAGAGTTCCTCTGCGTTGGAGCTTGTTCCCCGTGGGTCGTGTAGATGGAGAGGGGATCTCTGCGATTTGAGGTGTTTCGCCTAGAATCTTGTGGAGTTTTCGACTCTGTCGAACTAGAGCGGCGCGCTGAACTGGGTCGAGCTTGTTCATCGTTAACGGCCGATTGTCGCTTGCGACTAGTCGTTCATTTTCAAAAGTGTCGTTAAAAGAAGAGAGGAGAGGGTCATGCGACATGTTCGAGTCGCCCATGTCCGAGTAGTGGGCGGATTCCCCACCAAGAGATGGTCGTGACCGTGCCGAATCGAGCTGGCCGTCTTTGGAAATAAGGACAAATTCGTCATCAGCGTCGGCTGAGGAGATGTCGTTAGAACTGCGGGGTGCATAGGAGGCCTGCTCGCGAGAGGAGCGAGACCTTTTAGGTGGCGCGGAGAGGGGAAGCTTGGAACTGGAGGACATGATGGAAAAGAGTCGTGTTTCGTATAGAGAGTCTGCGATTAAGAGGTATAGTTCAGCGTGTAGACTAGATGGTCGTCGATGGTGGCGCCCTTGGTATCAAATGCCGAATGTCGTAAAAGTTTATTTACCAGGAAATAAAAGGTCGTGCAACGATGAAGAGTAGAAATTCGAGATAACAGGTTGGGCGGACGTCGTGGAGAGCAAGGTTGGAGCCTGTGTTCTCGACAACGATTTACGCCTAGAAAGGAAATATGCAGCCTTTCTTCTGAACCACAATGTCATGCAATCACCTGTTCTTGCTTCAGCTGCGAGAAACACAACAGTTTCAGCACATCACTGTCAGATACTGAGTGGACGAAGCACGGGGGATGTAACCATCAGGCATCACTGAGTCGGAGGTCGGAACCCATATCCTGGACTGAACAGACCCAAGCGCTATGTTGCTGCTATCTGGGACACGTCTGGAATACGACACAGTTAGCGGAGATGGAGAACTGGGGGCTAGAAATAGTCGCCACTGGGAGCCAACTTGGATGGCCGAGCACAGGGCCTTAGACTGGACCAATTGCGCATTTGACTGTCATTAATAACGACGATTCAGGAATTGGATGTATAGGTGTATAGTGTTATGGACACGCCTCGTCTGCGCAGGACCGCCGCTGACGAAGGTACTGTAGCGAACTGCAACACACTCCGTACGTGTACGTGCAGTCAGAGATGCTTCTTTTTGATTAACCACTGTTTTTCTCCGCACTTGCCATACAAGTTGCTCTGAGGACGCTTTCACAGTACGCGGCCGCCCTGAATGTTACCCGCTTGGGGAAATCGGTCTGCCCAGTGGTCTCACGCTCGCAGAGAACTCTGCGCTCGTATCAACCGGAGAAAGTCGCGCCTTCTTTCTCGTTGATGGCACTCACAACACACGAGCTTACTCCTTCGACCCTCAAGCCCTTCGCGGACCGTGCCCTACAGCAACTGGACATGTCTCTTATGTCGGTCAACGCGGCGCCTATAAAGAAAATGTACAGTAGAATTGGGCCGCCTATCTCGCGTAACGATCACCGGCAACCCGATGAATACTCTACTACTGGTCCCGCGGCTGTCAGCGAGGCTTGCCGTGCATGTGCCTATTCCCGTATGCCACCTACTCCTCCTTGCACCCTGCCTTCGACCCGCCCCCTCTCTTTCGACAGCATCATAGGGTCCTGCATCATTTCTTCCTTTAAAAAACTATGGCCTCTGTGACGGCCTTGCGCGTTTCTTTCTATACATTACACGTTATTGGGGGATTTTTGATGGCGATAATAATTTTAACACTGTGCCTGGAGTTTCGATATGTTCGCGATGGATCATTTCTCGCATCACTTTGCCTCTGCCTATCACGAATAATCTCGACTATCGTGTCGTGCCTGCTGTACGTATGCCAAGGAAGGATTCCAAAGTGCTAGAAGCTAACGATGCATCTCCTAGTTTATTCACAGGTGTGCTAGCAGGGAAAGAACCACCCAAGTCTCTTTGTATTGCACAAAGTGCTCTAGAACGAGCACAAGAACCTCTCCTCACAAGCTCGGTTCTCTCCTATGCAGGGAACGTACGTCCTCTTCCGCGCAAATCCCCTGAAACCTCGCTGAGTCGACTATATAGCTTCTCATCGCTCTTTCGACCATCAACTCACCGAATGGCCTCATCGT